CACACACGCCTCGCCCTTCGTTCTTTTCTTCGTTTTCGTGTTTTTATGTTTTATTGTTAATTACAAACATTCAAACTTTATTGTACTATGTGTGCAGGGTTCGGCGCCGACCAAGAAGGCAGCCAGTCTTCAGCTGGCCGCCATCCCCGAGCGAAAGAAGCCCGCGCCGCCGGCCACCGTCTCCGCCGATATCGATCCCGTGAGCGCCTTCTGGTACTCGTGAGCAGTTGCCCTATTTTTTGTTAAGTTTTTTTTTACTTGCAAAATCGGTTTTATACAACACGTTCAGAGTTGTGTCAACACTGCGCGATGATGGCATGAGAACCATGAGAACTGTGAGAAATGCACCTGGCGCTACAGAGCCTTGATGGCATTGACGATCTCCTTGCCGGTGGCCGGGTCGGGAAAGAAGGCCAGGTGCGTGCCGGCGACGGTGGCGTCGCGCAGGTTGTTGTCGCCCCAGAGCTCCACCTTGCCCTGCGTCTGTCGGAACACGCCCCACTCGACCCCAGCCGGCAGCTGGACCTCGGTCACCTCCACACCCGGCGCGAAGTTGACCTGCACCAGGCCAGGCCCGTGGTCAGCACCACTTTTTTCGGCGCTCAAGAGTTGGAGAGGGAAGGGGGGGGGGTACGGAGCGGGTGAGAGGGGAGCGGGGAGGTGCAAAGGCGGCGACGAGCTTGATGAAGGCCTCGACCGTGGCATGGTCAGTGATGGCCTTGCTCGCCGTCACTTGGCCCCCCACTCGCCTGGTCACCACCAACTGCAAAGGTCTTGCCTCGTGTTGTTCCATCTTCTGACTTTGAGCAATGCACGTTGCTTTTGGGTGTGATCGGAGTTGAAGTGCACGAGATTATTTGGTTAAAAAAAACCAATTCTAACGTGGCTGCCTGAAGCCGAGGTCCACGCGTGGACTAGAACTGGTACTGGTAGACCTTGAAACGCCAGAAGGCGTCGTTGTAGGCGCCCGGCGCGTTCTGCACGACGTTCCTGCACCTGGTTTGGCATCCCTGAGGGGTAAAGCGGTCGACGCATCATGTTGTAATTGTTAGGACTCGCACATATCCAGCACGGCTGATGTGGGGTACGTACTGGCCCAGTTACCGCAGAGGTTGATGTTGATGTTGATGATGAGGTGCATGTCGAAGAAGTGGCTCGGCGAGCAGTCGCTACCCATGTTGAATGCCGCCACAGGGCTGGTGGTGCAGTGACATTGGCCGTTGCAATCAGTTCCCTATCGTTCAGGGCGGCAGAGAAGGGTGAAGAGGAGGGATCACGTACGTGCCCCAGGTGGACGGAATGGGGTTGCCCGACAGGATGTCAGCAGGGGTGCTGTTGCGAGGGAAGAACCACACCTTGATCGGCCAATGATGGCCAAAAGAAGAGTAAGACATATACCAGTCTCATAAATTCCGCCTCCGCACTGTTGAAACGAAGGGCCAAATCCACCAGTGGCGTAAAGTAAAGTTATGCCCTGGGAGAAGATCATACAGGAACGAACCTGATGAACCGTGAGCGACATACCTGGTTGTAATACTGGCCGGGGGCATTGGCATAGCAGTTAGTAGCCTGCAACGGTTGCACCGGCTGCAGCAGCCAGTGAAAGAACTCCTGGGCTGGTTGATCATGGTGCAGCCATTCGTGGTGTGACCTGATTACGCCTCATCATCCACGCTATGAGGTCAGCCCGTCATGTGATGAGGACCAGACAGGGAACGTACCGACGGTGAGCGAGGTCTCGGCGGGACGAGGTCCCATTATATACTCGTACGCCGGTCCGTCGCTCAGCTTCCTGCGTCGAGCACTCTCCGTGGAATTAGCGCCCGCCCAGCAGGTCGTGGATGAGCACGCTCGGTTCGGAGAGCGGACTGAACCTGTGCAGCATCTTGGTAAAGGACTCGAGCGACACGGACCGTCCTCCTTGATGGGAAGGAGAGGAAAAGGTGCAACTTGTTATGCCGAAGCAAAAAAAAATTGTAAGTAGCACTTTAGGTGGAAAGCAGGCCATGAGTTCTTGGTTCGTCCTGAAAGGCGTTGGTGTTTTTTCTGCAGTAAATTTGATCACTGAGCTAGTGATCTCCGCAGAACCTCAGTTCTGTTGCAGAGGGGGAATGAGAACGAGGCCACTTCTCAGAACTTACTTTTATCCCAACGCACCTCCCCGTACTCTTCCCTCAACCCTTCCCGCAGACTCACCCTGGCCGCCATCCGACTTGGCCACCTCCCGCCCCTGGCGCACTACATAATGATGCCCTCCACTCTCCTGCTTTCAACACACAACACACACCAACACAACACCCATAACCCAATGTTCCGTCGATCGAAGAAGCATCAGGCTGAGTCGGTGCCCACCGCACCCATGGCCGCCAACACCGCAGCACAGGTAATCAAGAAGGAGCCCGTGGTACAGCGGCATGTAGTGCATGAGCACCCGGTCATAGTCCACCGCCAACACCACGTACAGCCCATCATCCACGAGAAGGTCAGGCACATCAAGCCCGTGCACCGCACGGAGATCACCACCGAACGCCCCATCATCACCAGGGTACGTTGTCCACACCGCACACAGCACACAGCACAGCACACAACTCACGACACACGCACTCACCGCACGCGTGAGCAGGAGGTGATTGTTCAGGACTCAGGTGTGGTGGCGCACAAGCCAACCGTGGGACAGAAGCTGAAGGGCACGGTGAAGGAGCTGAGCGGCGCCATCACCCGCAACCCGGCCAAGAAGGAGGAGGGCCGCATGCTCAAGCGCGGCATGGCCACCACCCAGCCCGCCTACATGTAGCCCAGACATAACATATTACTATTTTGATAAAACAAATAAATATAAAAAATTCGAAATGTTTGCATTTATCAGCGATTAAACGCCTTGCGACGGCTAGAGCCGGGCCTTGGTGGCCGGGTACTGCTTCCTCCTGCCGGCGATGATGGAGGAGCTCGTGCTGCGTCGTGGGAGGTCATCCGCGTGAGCCGACCAACTGTTCGGTCCCGCTGCCGCAGACACAGAACCCGCCGCCGCAGCGGGTTCATCTGCTGGCGCCGCGCCGTTGTCATTGTCGTCATCGACCGTGTCGATAGTAGGTGGTGGTGGTGGTGAAGGTGGTGTGGTGGCGGAAGAAGGGGTGGCGTCAGGCGAGGCGGGGCTCAACGAGGCCAGCTCGAGCTCGCGCACGTCCTGATACGACAGATCGATCCAGTCATCCATAGAACAGAAGGCCAGCTGATGCGACGCGAGGTAGATCTCCCGCAGCACCTGCGCCACGCAAGGAGATGGAACACTTTGTTAAGATCGTCATTGTTCGGTTGAGCTCTGAACAAACGAACGTCACTGTCATGATCACGATCGCCGTACCTGGTGGATGTATCGCTCCACGCGACCGGGGAAGGTCCACCGCGGGTAGTTGAAGCTGACGCTCACCAGCTTGTACGCACACATGATCGGCTTTGACTTTTCCTGAAGCGCGGCCGCGGTGCAGGGAGCATTGGAGTAGATCAATGCGTTGTCGCACACGCACGACCGCACACACACACACACACGCACACATCGTTACCGCACACGCACACGAGTACGTGAACATTAAAGGAGAGCGTACCCAGGCTCCCTTGAGCGGCCCTCGCTTGGTTTTGGAGGACGAGAAGGAGGCCGGGTGCATGGTGGGAATGTAGTTCTTGCCTGCGGCCCCCTTGACCTGCTCCTTGGCTATGTTGATGTAGTCCACCTCCGCCGCCTCGCTTTCCTTTCCGTGCGCCTACACACGCGACACACGCGACACACGAGCTATTGATGATGTACAGCACACACGTGCGGTACATGAGGTGAAGAAGCCTACCCGCGAGGAGGTGCCAGCGTCATCGATAAACTTTGTACAAGCGGTGACAGTGATCCTCGAACCCAACAGAGGACACTGTGAACAACGTTTAGACACGCACACGCACACGCACACGCACACGCACACGCACACGCACACGCACACGCACACGCACACGCACACGCACACGCACACGCAGTACCGTGTAGACGGTTTTGATGTAGGGATAGGCGTCCCAGGTCTTCTCCTCGATGGTGAGCGCGTTGTGGGGCAGCAGCTTGCGGGTCCAGGGCGGGAGGCCCTCGACGTGAAACTCGCGCACGCGGTAGACGCCCCGGGTGCCCTGCTTCTTGTCCTCGTAGGGTCGGGCCTCGCGCGTCACCACCTCGGTGCCGGTCGATCGCCCCTCGCGCCCCGTACGCACCACCATGTACACATGGCCCACCCTGAACTGCAGTGCCCATGACACGACACGACACGGCACGACACGCACGACATAGCACACGGTGAGTTTGCTTTGTGCCCAGAAAGACCGAGAGGCCGTAGGTGTAGGCGTTGGGGGGGACCTCATCCACGGTAAATGGCAAGGGGATTCGGCTGCCACACGATAAAGGGATTAGCACGAATCTATTGTTCTCGTCATGCACAGGGAGAAAGATGTACGCACTACTCCTTGGCCAACACCATCTTTTCGTCTTCTTGTTGATCTCGTTGGCTGCCCACGTCAGCAAAAAGAATCAGCCAAAAAGAAAAAAGAAAAAAGTTGATTTATTTAAAAAACACAAAGATGAAGGGAGGACTGGTGGTGTTGTTGTTGGTGGCAATTGTGGCCGTGTGGTGCGTCGGCTCAGGCCGAGCAACGATGCCTAAGGCCGCGGCTGCGGCGGGCGGCGGGCGCATGGCGCGGGAATTCGAAGATCGAGGCACCCTGTGGGTCGGGCGACCCAAGCGGGGCGAGCAGCTCGAGCTGGGCGGCCACAAGGGCGTGTCCTACCACATCGCCGGCCTTCGCCCCGGCGCCTCCTACGAAGCCCGCCTCTCCTACCCTGCCTTCGTACCTTACCCTCCCATCATTTATTTTATTTTATTTTATTTTATTCCTTTTTCATTTGTAATTTTTATTTACAATTTTATTGATTCTTTTATTTGAAGATAAATTTAAAAAAATAGAAAATGGTGACCTTACATTGGGGTCGTGGTCAGAACCCGGCGGCGTTCACGGTGATGTTTGCGCCGGCGGCGGAGGGACCACAAGACGACGATGGCGACGATAGGGCCGAGGGGCGCAGCAGCGGCTCGAGCCGGTCGCTGCTCAACGTGGTGCAGCGCAGGTTCACGGCGCCCGTCACGGTGACCGGTCCCGACGGCGCCAGCGTGCCCGTGCCCGAGCTTGAGGACGGCATCGGCTTCGTCATGTTCGTGTCGGCCGTGCGCGAGGGCGTTGCCGCGCCCGGCTACGTGGACGACCACATCATCTCCTACAGCATCGGTACCGCTGCGTCGCGTCGCTCTTCGCTCTTCTGCCCTCGTTCTCGAGTCTCTTCGTTCTTTGCTGAATGATGACGTTGGAGTGCGCAGTGGTGGAAGAGCTGGCACTTCCACAGTACGGCGGCCTGCCCGGCGGCACCCTGGGCGTGGCGGCCATGTCCGTCGGCCTGATCGGCTTCGCTGCCTACGGCGCCACCAAGCTGCGTCGCATCCTCCTCATCCGTGCTCGTGGTACGCACCGCGACAATCACGCACCATCATTGTGTTTATTACCAACCTCACACTGCACGCGCACGCGCACACGCACACGCAGGCACCAAGATCCAGTGATCGTGCATCGATTCAGATGGGAAGATTTATTTAACAACAAGAAACGGAAGGTCACGGTCGCCTTCTCTTCTCCTCACCCGTCGTTTTCCAAGGTCGATAGATGATGATCCATCGTTTTCACTTCTTCTTCGCTTGTCGTCCCCTTCTACTTTTTGTTGTTGTTCCGGGTCTGGCTCGGCTCAGTTGGTGAGGTGGCCCTTGGGCTGGTACGCGTAGGCCTGCGTCCTTCGCGGACCGGGACGCTGCTGGTAGGCGGCCTGTTCGGTCAACCGCACACACGACGACACAACAATGAGCCCACATGAGATCTCCACACCAGGCACACGAAAGAGAGGGGAGGGCGTACCTGCGGCCAGTACTGCCTGCCATCAGGTCCCTGCGCGGGCTGGATCATGTGCTGCTGCAGCTCCTACGCACCGACCACAAAAAAAATCACGTAGGAGGTGAGTGGGTGGGCACCGATGAAGTAATTTGTTATGGTTTATTTCTGTCAGAGCGGCGGCCTCTCAGCAACACACAAGAAGAGAGTG